CTTGTCACAAAAGGGACCGCAAAAACGTCTGTGTTCACCCACTGGGACTGAGGTTTGTCGTGTAGCCTTTTCGCATTGCTCAGTCTTTTTCTTTTGTTTGAAGGAAGAATACCAGATTTGTGTTAATTAACTTTGTGATAAGATTGAAGTTTGGTTAAGTAACATTATACAAAATCATAGAACATTAAAAATAGTTTAATACTTATTTAAATTAATATTATAAAGAGGTAAGATTTGATTATTTGTTTGCATCTAATAGGCTCCGAAACTACTGGAATGATTTAAAAAAATCTTTCACCTATGGGAAGCTAAATCATAGGGATGATGAGTAGTTTTTGTTTGTTTCTCCGTTAGATAGCTTATTGAAGAATATTAAACACGTTATTATATCTTGTATTTTTTCATGTTTTCGTTATCAACAAATAACAGTGATACATTAAGTGAGTAACTCGGTGGCGTAGCGGATAAGCGCCGCGGTCCGCGATCGTTGTCGTTAAGCAACTTTCGCAAGGGTCGGTCACGGGATGGGTGACCAAAAAATTATTATCTCGAGCTACTCCGTGCTTCGGAAGACACATTAAGCCGTTGGTCCCGGCTGCATTTGCAGTCGTTAATACCCTCCAATCCGCATTGGGCCAGCGTGGAGCATCATGGCCCATCCTCCTTAACCATCCATAAGGAAGGCCTGAGCCTCTGCAGTGGGGACGTAAAAGGGCTGTTGATGATGAAACACGTATTTTTTTCATGTTTTCGTTATCAATAAATTACAGTGATACTTTAAGTAGAAATGCACATGAGGTCACGCCTTTGTACATTTTATACATAGTTGTGAAGTAACGAGCTCTCATCAGCCTAAATGGCTGAAGATAATAGACATTACAGTTGAGGTGTAACTGTAATGTCTATTATCTTTAGCCATTTCTTATTAAATTGAAGCAAAAATGACGGATTTCATGGTCGAATCAGTCTTCCTGAAGATCGCCTCCAAACAAACACGATTATAAAATAAAAGTAATTCGTAATAAATAAGTTTTTATTACAAGCTTTTATGTAGTTTAACCTGTCCCGATGTTTCTCTTTTTTATAAATATAGTATTCCAAATTTTTTAATTAAAATTTAAAACATACCTTTTATTATTAATCTAAAATGGCCGCCGTGATAAAATGGTGGTGTACATATTTCTGAACAACTTATTCGATATATGAAACGGCTTAACTTGTAGAATACATTACACTAAATAAATAAGCTTGTTTTAAAAATATTTTAATTTTACATTTATGCTAATAATCCAATCGTTAGCCGTACGAAAGATAATTAAATAAAATAAGTCTTTAAAAAATGAACACACGAAAAGTAAATAATAAATAAAGCAAATAATAACTGAAAATACATGTATTAATCCTTAATGAGACACTCTAATATCAAGAAACTAGATTCAATATTACTTTCAGGTTTCACGTGAAGCAATCTTTTCAGTTTTTATGGGTCTTATAAATCTGTTTCTTTAATGTAACTGTTGGTATACCGTTGGATTTGACCCTGATGTGCCTACAACACGCTAACTTTATTTTATTGGCTATATTTGGGAGGATCGTTTTGAAAGAATATGAAAGAAACTGGATTACTTTATTCTATTTGTATTGTTAACTGGTTTCAAATGGAAATAGAAAATGCTCTATGTTCTAATGGGTACATATTTTTTTAAAGAAATTATATCGTCGATTTGAATACGCTTGTGGACCGATTTTCTTATTTCAATTGAAGCATGGGCCTGTTATATAATGCCCATATAGAATTCGAAGAGTTGTTTTTATAATTAAATAATTGGACGGGTTCTGCTTAGCAACAATAAAGCTTCGACGATAATTATATTTATGTGGAGATTTTTGTGTATATTAACCACCTGACATAAATGGAAGTGTCATATGAATCTCTAAGTATTATTTTTCACGTTTTAAAAATCAGTTTTTATTTTCAATACATTCAACTCTTATTTCAATTTCAATTCCAATGTTTTTGGTTCAAGTCACTTAATTAAAAACAGGACAAAAGTACATTAGCTCAGCATATCAGTTATGTCTGTTTTATGAAATTTTCATGTCACATTGCTCCACCACAGCCAATTCATTATAATAATTAATTTTACCAAGCTTCCATTTATGTTGCGTCACAGAAGATTAGTTCTGATGTTACAGACATTGTTTAGAATTGATGACGTCACCTATTCATCGTCCATAGAGAGCTTACCTTGTTCCGTGTATTTATGTAGTCTTAGTACTATTTCTCCCTTCAAAGGATTAACACGTAATCCGATCTCGCCATCCCGAGCCTACTTTAATGTTTACCGATTAGGATAATGTAAACAAGTAAGGGGTTTATTGCCCGTACTTGTGTGGGTAAAGTATAAGATTGTTTTAATTGAAAACAAAACACACAAAACCGTTACGCTATTCTGTTGAAAGAGCCTCAAAGTGAGACGCGGCGCTGTCACGTCTTAGAGCTTCAACTAAATAGAACCTATATTACCTTTTCAATTAGGTTTTATTTGCTATGACAGCGCTGCTTTATACGACGAGTTCGATGCTAATTCGGAATAGCACTGCAGATTCAAATAAAATCATAGTAACTATTATGTTTTTGTCAAACCCTTTATACCCAGGTTAAAGACATAAAAATATGATATTCCCTATTTTGCCGCGCCGGCCATTTTGAATTTACAATAATGAGAGCTGAAGCTGTGTACTAAATTAAGACTTCGTGTTCGTGGTTCGATTCTAAGTCGAATTAATGTAGAAAACGAAGTCTCGAGTCTAAATGTAGATTTATACCTTCGTTGTTTCAGGTTTCCATAATACATGTGTCTTATCAACTTCAATTTCGATCTGAACAACTCACTACGTTGTTTTTTTTTAATTTATTTAAATTTTAGATCATTCAAATAAAATAAGAGAGTTTTTAGGTTTGCGTATCCAAAGGGTACAACTAAGATTTCGCTGTCTGTCTGCCTATCACCAGCTTGTATTTCATGATCCGTGAAAGTTAGACAGTCGAAATTTTCACAGATAATGTATTTGTGTAGGTGCTTCAATAACAAATACTAAACACCAGCTTAAAATAAATATTTAAGGAGACTCCAATACAACAAATATGATTTTTTTGTTCGTTTCCGTTATGAAACACACGTGCGCGAGTCCGACTTTGGTCGGTTTTTTAATTACTTAATTTCTCTCACTTACACTATCTTTCATTTACCTAGAACAAGGCACAGCTTAGCTAGCGAAAGATTAGTGTGATTCCTAGACATTGGTGAAATGTATTTTTACCTTAGGCGATTCCTAAGAATTTAGGACTAGTGGCCGCCAGCGACTTCATCCGCGTTTTCTATTATTTCTTCGCTCCCAATAGTTGCAGCGTGATATTATATAGCCCAATGCCTTCCTCGATAAATGGTCTATTCAACACAAAAATATTTTTTCAATTCGAACCAGTATTTCCTAAGATTAGCGCATTCAAACAAACAAACAAACTCTTCAGATTTATATATTAATCAATCCAGTAATAACCATTCAAAATTAGTGACTTTTCAATTAACAATTGCCCAAAATATTTCTAAACTGTCTTAGTTAAAAACATTTTCATAGTTTAAACTGAAAATGTAAAAATTCAGACAACAAAATTGGAACGAAGTAAGTGGACAAGCTCTAACCCCATCTGTTACGAAGGGCTCTCTAAATATCGACAGTTTTACAACTTCCGTTCTACAGGCGGAGTTTTCGAATGGCTGCAATTATAGTTCGAACACGTAGTATGCCAGCGGATTTCTATTTTAATATGATATTGGCTGTCGACGAAGTCAATTAAGCTCACAGTATGGCTTGTTGACTACGATCGCTGGTTCCATTAAAGTTTCATTTTACTATATCTAGATTAGAAAATAATCGCCCATAGCCATCATCGATGCTTCATCATATATATGTCGATAGATTCAAAAAGAAAGCCAAGAGCATGAAATAATAGTAATATTTATTTGGGACAAGGTACAAACTACATACAAATATATATGGGTATAACAAAAAACAGAAAAATATATGTTCCAAAACGGTTCCAGCTCAGCATATACAGGCCTTGCGATGATGAATTAAAAAATAAAATAGGATGAAAGTATCAAAAAATATAGACTATTGCACACAAAGTATTATTGTTCATCACCACCCTATTATGCATTTGCAGTCGCTAATACCCTCCAATCCGCATTGGGCCAGCGTGGAGGGTCATGGCCCATCCTCCTTAATCATCCATAAGGAAAGTATTAATGATTGCAAATGCAGCCGAGAGCAATGGCTTAACACGCCTTCCGAAGCACCGAGATCGAGATAATACATTTTTCGTCACCCATGCTATGACCGGCTGTTATGAAAGTTGCCGAAACAGTATCGCAGGCTTTTTTTTCATTTCATCAGGATTAATATAGTAATTCATTTTCTTTGTTGTGGTTAATATAATCACAAACATACTCATTTTTAATGCATGATTATAATATAATAATATTAACGCATGAATACACGAGTAAGCACTTTAAAAAGGTTTATATAACCTCGTGTTATGAAAACATAACCATTACTGAATATAGGTAGTCATTTTTAACAGTTAAAAATGGCATTCCTTACAGCCCTAAATGTAAGGGATCTATAGATAATAAACTTTTGAAATTAAACGAGGAAAAGTTTTATGATTTATTGCGTCTGTCCCATTAAATGATGGGAAAATATTTTTTTAATCCTTTTAGCGATCAGAACCAGGAACCATTTATTAAAATGTGAACATTTCTTCTCGGACATAATCAAAAGGGGGTCATATTTTTTTGTTACTCGATGACTATCGTGGTGAAAATACTGAAATAAAAGTCTGAAATAACTTGTTATATAAATAAAATATTTTGTGTTCGTAGCAGCATACCTGTTGTAGCACATATCATCATCGTAGCATAATGTAGCGCACAATGATGTCAGAACCCGTAGCGGACAGAGAGAAGGTATGCAATAGCGAAAATGAAAGTATGCATTAGAATTGGAAACTGGGTCAGCCCTGTGAATATTATAATAAAAGTAAATGTTCAGGTTGTCGTACATTGTGTCCAGAACATAGAGAACCTTGTCCTGATTTCTATGTGATTCGGTCAAGGTTTTTTTTCTTTTTGAGAATAGCTAAGAACTACTACTACTCGTGAGAATTAACATGACATCTGAAGGACTTTTCTATCTCACCAAATACAAAATTTAGTCTATTTTCAAAATACTACTCCGACTTCAAGGAAACTTTTTTTCTACAATTTTTAGTGCAATGGAGGTAGATCCTGACACTGTTTCTGATGCACAGATAATCTTTAAGAGTTTAATCATATTACAGGAAAGATTTAAAAAATTTCGAAGGTTCGTTATAGAACAAATAGAATAGGCCTTCAGGTGACATGTTAATTCGTACAAGTTATACATATTGATTAAGTTAGTAGGTAGTATGAGGAAAGTTCATTCATAATGCCTTTATAGGTCCTATAAAGTGTGCATGATCCATATTTAGATTTCAAGTTCATATTTTGACTTCAGTAGGAAATTATGCATGAAACGGTATATTTTCGTATTTGTTGTATGAATGTCAGTTTATTACATTTCACAACTACAATAATCGTCCTCCTTTTTTATTATAAAATACTAGCTTTCCGCCAGCGGCTTCGCCCGAGTGGTACGCTGGTACCTGGTACTCATAGATCTAAACTCCCCTCCCGCAAGCGCACCCCCGCCATGGTCACGTCCACTTCGCAACGGGTCGAGCAGCAGAAATCGTAATATTTTAATTTCGCCATAACTTCAAAACCAAACGTCCAATTTTAATCATTCAAAGACCAAATATCATCTACATAAACTGTTCTTCGTGATGAAATAATTTATTTTGATAAGGATAAATAGCATGAGTAAAATAAACGCGTTTAAATGTAGTCCAAAGAAAAATCAAGATTTCAAAATAAAAAAATGGTTGTTGTGCCTCAACCGACATAGATAGGTATAGTGCGTCGCGGACTTTTTTCTAGATATTTGTAAAGTCTTCAATTAATACAACGTTTTATGGTTCTATCTATTATAGTTTAGGCAGCGTACGCAAAATAAGTAACTTTTCTGGTTGATTTTTACACCTTGTGTCCGAAAAGCCCAAATAACTTACCGAACCCTATTTTTTTTCAAAATAAAATAAGCCTATGTTACACGTGGATAATGTAGCTTTCGAATAGTGAAAGAATTTTAAAATCGGTCCAGTAGTTTTTGACCCTTTTCATTACTATTAAACAAACATACAAACAAAGTTTTTCTCTTTATAATATTAGTATAGATATAAATTATAAATAATATTGATTCAGTGTAACAGCTAATGTAGCAGTTATATTTTGTAACGGTCATATTTGCAAATCCACTTGGAGTAAAATTTATGTTTTTATTCTACATAAGAATTATTATTGGAAACGAAAGGAACTGCTGTATTATGTATTCAAAACAATCATCAGTGTGTTGCACCTTTGTCGTTTTACACAATTATAGTAAGACCTTACAACAGGAATGCCTTGATCCGATAATAGTCTGGTTAAATAGAAACGTTGAGCCTTCCAATTAAGGTTGTAATCCGCTAGAGAGGAAAGCTTATTCGAACAATGCCATCTGATTGTTGATTTCAATCAATTTGCTCATTGCTCAAATATGTCGTTCGCTTAGTACATAACTTATTAATTATATAGATTTTATTCAATATTACAGTTTAGATAACAAATAAGTATTACTGAAAAAAATATTAACTCTTTCTATCTTGTAATTAAATAAATGTGTACGATTACATAAAATTACTAATTTATATTTACTGCTGACGTACAAACTACTTTGGCGTGCGGTCAATAATCTAAGTATATAATATGTAAAGTTAGTCGTAATTTATACTTGATCAACTCATGTATTTACTAACTAAATAAACTTAACTATTTACACAATGCAGTGTGTATTCAACTTTATCCAAACTTCTATGAACTACACTCTTCAAGACCCTAACAAAATGATTATTATTCTTAATTTTAAATTATAACCTTTACATTTAATTGACCACGGTTGAAAATAAAACAAAATGTTGTAATTCAATCTTATAACACAATTGAAATTTTCATTGACATTAAAAAGGAACTGAATGTTAGGGAAAAAAGTATAAGAGTCATCAATACGGACGTCCGGTGAAGTGGCAAGGAAATGGTCTCTAATTAAAGCGAGTCTCGAGATTAAGCTAATGAGCCTTTTTGTGGGCTCTCTTGTAGTGGGCGGTGGTGAAACCATTTCCATTCTAGCTAACTGAATCAGGAGATGAATGAATAAAAACATATATATTTGTTTTATGCCCGTTTCCACTAAACTTAGGAATCACTCAAATCTGTCACCTAAATTTATAAATCGCCTAAGGTGAAAATGCATTTCACCAATGATTAGGGACCACCTAACGAGATTAAGCAAAGTCTAAAATTATGAAATGCGATATGCGGCGCCTTGCTCTAGACGTTTGCATAATATGACAGGTCATAAATGTGTCAAGGGATAAACGAAAACATGTTCATTTGGAATGAAACTAACCTACTGAGGCGATTTGTAATTAAGCTATGCCTTATTCTAGGTTAGTGAAAACGGGTGTTAGTCACATTGCAATGTACCTATTTTTATTAATGCAGAGGTACTTTTTTCCTTTTGTCTTAATTCAGGGTGTGTGTGCAATCTTGACACGTGGTCTCGTCATTAAAAGCTTACTGACTGATATATCGCTAGAAAACTAACGTATATGGCCAATTTGGCAGTTGCATGTAGTATGTGCCTAACATCGTACATCGTTTAGATGCGATCATTATGAGCTAGCGACCAATATCGGTAATATTGCTACAAACATTGTCGAGACTGCAGTCTCAGGGTTCTCTAATTACGAGAACTTGCTCGAAGGAGGAAGACAAAGCGTCGTTGGCCTATCTGATGAAACCCAATGCCATAATTATTTATTGTTAACGTAATTTTTCCACAATATGTGTTAACGTAACTTTAAATTGTACAATGGTAAAAGCTGAAAACATTGTGTTCGTAAAATACTAGGGGGATTTAAAACTAATCCAACTTCAGGATTGGAACGGAAAAGATTGGTTACGGTCTATAGTACTTTAGTCAATAACTCAATACAAATACAGGTAGATACACAGACACAAAAAAAACGTTAACGAGATGTTGAGAGCCTGTAGGTGATTTATTATAAGAATAAAACCGTCGACTCGCACAACACCATTTGGAACGTTCATTAACAATTATTTTGCTCGACGGTTTTTGTAAAAAAAAGTCTGTTATATCTTCATAACGCCACTGAAAAAAGAGTTGGATTTTTAAATTTCATGTTCATACTGCAAATTTAATTAAAAACAAAATAAAAATTATAGGATGCGACTTGAGTTTTATAAAATTAAAGCATTTCATTTAAATATTATTTTTCGTTAGATTTTTATTATTATATACCACGTACCGTCCATCAGGTCATTAATAAACCATCAGTAATAATAAGTATAACACTTGTTTTTAAGTTCCTTAATCACAAATTTACGCCTATAATAATTCGCGATAAATCTTATTGTAAATGTTCCTTGACTTTTTGACTTCTATACATATTTCACTTTTACATTCTACTTAAATAAGTTTATATAATCTTATTTACCCATTATAACGGAAGATAGCTTCATAAGTTTCAATTAGTTTCTCGATGTGACAACTTTATGAAACTAAACAAGGAGAAAAATGTCTTCCTTAATTATTATTCTTTTGAAAGATTTCCGCTTAAGGTTTACTTACTGGTGCCTTTTTAATTATTACAACTACTTATTAACACACGCACCTTAGCTATCGAGTCATATATATTTTTTTCTAATACTTATTTTCTTTAGTAGATAACAACTACCTTTGTAATAATTCCTGATTAACTAATTATTTTCCCTAATTTAGAGTCATATCTGCTTTGAAACAAGGTAACTGAATGTTGAAACTTTGTTAAATAAATAAAATAAAAATAATGATATGCTAGGACGATTACCATATATCAAAGAGATATTAATTTTAGTATAACATAGTTTGTAATATGGCTATTTATTACACGCGTAAAGAAGGGTAATTAAAAATATACCAGAACTTATATATAACATTAAAATATTTGGATTTGCTTTTTTTACTCGAGTAACCATTATCTGTTATACGAGTTACGTTCAAGTAGTATACTGAAACCTGTTATTAGCCTTTGTATCCAATGTTATACTTATTGTAACGCCGTAGGTTTCTAAATAAATAAATAAAAGTTGCGGTATCGAATACCTACTAACTTAAAAAAATATTTAACTGTATAACTCTCAAGGGGAATCCTTACCAAGTTATTAGGTGAATGTAAATAGTGAGGGATCTTCGCAATTGGGCTTTACTTATTTTAGTACAATATTGTAACGCCGTTGGTTTCTAAATAAATAAATAAAAGTTGCAGCATCGAATACCTACTTACTAAAAAAATATTTAACTGTATAACTCTCAAGGGGAAACCTTACCAAGTTATTAGGTGAATGTAAATAGTGAGGGATCTTCGCAATTGGGCTTTGTAGTCCCGGGTTATATCCCTGCTGACGGTAAATATCTTTTTACTGTGGATATAACGTCCATGGAGGTTACCATGGCGAGGGCAATTGACCGACAAAGTATCTCTGTTCAAATATTTATTTCGGATTGAAATATTCGTATCTCGTGTGAAGCTTGTGTAAGTAGGCCCAAGTGAAATAGTTTTAGTGTGAAATATTGGACATTATTTATTCAGAGGCAATAACATTTCCTGGAGCGTAAAGGGGTCTACGTGTCATTATTTTTATGGCATGAATAGCAAACACAGAATGCGTTTAAATGGTTTTGTCGTAGTGTTTGTATAAAGCCAGCAATTTTTTCTTTTATTCTTAATACAATCGAAATTTTTGAAACCATTTCAACCCTTAACTGGAATCGTAGAAACTGGAATATAAAAAATGTATTTTTTGGCTATGCATTGACGACCTCCGTAGCCGAGTGGTTCGCGCGCAAGGTTCAAGGAGTCGCCATCTCTGAAGTCCCGGGTTCGATTCCCGGACGAGTCAATGTAGAAAATGTTTTTTTCTATATTGTCTTGTATCTGGATGTTGTAGTACTTTTGTTGTCTCAGATACTCCATAAATCTGAATAGTAGGGGAGCCCACGATGCTAAATTGGGATTTACTCGAGCGTCATGGAGACCTATTGGGTTGCGAAGCTTAGATGATAACAAAAAAAAATTTCATATGATATATACCTTTTCATCGGTGGGGGGAAGCGGCTATAGATTTTTAAAAATGTAAAAAAAAACTGTTGTATGGACATACTCGAGCGCGTCAGATATTAATATCATCCATGTCCTACGCATTTTTAAAAACTGTCGTATGTTAATCTGATCGTTTCCATGATGGGGGTGGTTATACGTAAGGGTTGAAAATGAAAAAAAAAAATTATTTAATCGAGCGCGTCAGATTTTTTGAGGGGATGTCAAGTGAACCTAAAAAAAAGCTCTCATATAATAATCTGACGATTTGGATGTGACGCAAACGCGTGACCATTATTAGAATGTGCAAAAAAAAATCGCCATTTTGAAATACTCAAGCGCGTCAGATTAAGATATATATGGTTCATCTTTATGCCCCAGACGTGATATCTCATAATCTGACGATTATCTGAAGGGATTTACTTAAACTGACACAAAAAAAAAAATTTTTTAATTTTTTCAAATCATTGAGCTTAATTAAATAGAAAAGCACCGGAGTTAGCATGCAAATAAAAAAGTGTATGTATTTTTATGTAAAATACTTATATTTATAAGAAAATGATTATATGAAAATTGAATTTTTACAGTATTTTTTATTAATTATCATCTTCATCGCTAGAATCATCTTCCTCTTCTTCTCTTAATAAATATGTAAAAAGTTTAATTCACAAAATTTACATTAAAATAACAAAATAAGCAAAAACGTTGGAAATACGATGTAAACAATATCACGCCACGAACGAGTCTGTGTCATCAGCTGTCATGGCGTCATGGCAACCGAAACCAGAGTGAGGATGGAATGAGAGAGTAATAGACAGAAAAAGAGAGAGAAATAGTGATGCGGAGAAGGAAATATAGGTATCACGTAGCTTAAACGCATTAAATCTTATCGATGAATTTTTATTACTTCGGCTTGTGACAATCGTCAGATTATATATTTTTCGTAATCCTTGAATGATTCCCTTCAAAATAAAAAAAAATTAGCCACGCTCGATAATGTCAAAGTGACGTTTTTTTCACAACTTTGTAGCCTTCCCCCTTCTTTACGTCACTCTCAAATTGTCAGATTAGAGGTATGTACACCTTTTAGCATGTAACTAGCTCACCTTACCTTAATCTGACGCGCTCGAGATTTTTAGATGATCAATTTTTTTTTACTAATCTGATCCTTCGTCCTTGCCGGGCGGCCATTTTTATAGGGCTCATAATGTATGGTGATGTCTGATATTTATTTAATGAGTTAAAATGTTATATGACGTCACGCTTTTGAACATTTTCTTCAAAACTGTGACGTAGCGAGCCCACTCTCCTTAACTTTAACGCCTGTTGTCTAAACTGTTTTAGTAACAAAAAAGAAAATGTAATATTTTTCCGTTATCTGAATGACAAACTAAAAAGTTTTTACCCAGTCCTCATATCTACAATGGAAATAGCATAAAAAATCTGTTAAATTTTTAAACACTTGACTCTTGCATTCCCATGCGTTTACGTCATATTTATGTTTTTTACTAGTCTTTTTTTTCACCAGATGTTTTTATTTAACAACAATGATCGCAATAAACGATCTTTCATGTTCGCGAAACAAACAGTTGTATGTAAAGTAACACGAAACTTTTTCATCGGTGGTTCCTAAAGTTGATTGGGCTCCGACCCATCTAACAAAACTTTCCAATCTTGGGACCTTATAGCAAATAGAGAATAAATATATATAATAGAGTGACGTCCATTAGGACTTACTCAATATTCGTTCGCAACTAATGCGGGGAATATATTAGACGGGAATGCCCTCGGGGAAATCTGCAGGCATGCCGGACATCGCTACTACAGGTCTGTATAATGACTGCGACGGTTCTACATTAGCCAGACATGCTGGTCACGTATAGTAGCTAGGTTCATGGGACTCCTCGTTTTATAGTTTGGGAAATGATTGTACAAATAAAAATGTACAAATAGTGGACTAGAGTTGTAGCAGAAAACTTTAAAAGCAGTTTCAAATATGAAAAATAAAATTGCAAATTACCAATGTCCATATATAAAATACTATAGCGCACAAAAATTAGATTATTATTTTGAGAGTGATTTTATTATATTTTGAAATTAAAATGATTTATAGGTTCGTTATTTCCGGTTATAATCAAAATATGTAGACGATAATGCAACCAATCACTAAATAGAATGAAAATGATGATTTAATTATTAATAAAATCTTTGATAATTTCTGTAACGCTTAAAATATTGTTTAGTCATTAAACATTTTTAAAGTTTTTAAAACATTTAAAAAAAAATTTAAAAACATTTTTAATTCCGGTAAGAAATGATTTTAATTATTTAAACGAAAAGTTAACTAAAAATGTAGAATAAGAGTTTAAAAAATAATGTTAGTATTAAATAACATTAGATTCCATTATTAAGATATTTTTGTTATTGTTTTGTCAATATCTTTAATATTTTAAAGTATTTCCGGTCTGGGACTGTTACCACGTGTTAATGATTTTAAAGGAAGTTGATATTTAAAGTGATTGTTAATTGTTTAAAATATTATGATTATCACTTATTAAGTTTATTAAATTAAGGTTTATTTATCGATTGGTTTTTATAATTTTATCTAGAGTTAATTAAGTTACTTTTGTATCGATTGTGGAAGGGCGACATCACTGTTGGGGATTCTTCATAAAAAGAGCCGCACTCAGTGGTGGCGCCCCATTCTTGCTCCGTCAAACGCCGAATAAACTAAAGAGTTAACTTGTACGACGTGTTTTCTTTAACTCACCATGGAGGATCAACATGATCTCTATCAAGAGGAAGATCTGGCTCTAAAATACATACATAGCAATACATAAATAATTTAACCACACAAAACATAAGAATTCAGTAGACGTTTGAAGCCAGGTTTATTTGAAGCAGCTTGAATGTGGGAAGGCAGTACATTCCAGAGACGTATAGGCTGAAGTGAAAATGAATAGGAAATGAAACCTGCCCGATGTGAAGGAAAAGCGAGTGTTTATATGATATCTGGACGTAGATTATGGCTGTGAGAAGCACCTAGATACTGAAATTTACATTAAAATGTAAATATATCCGGGTGCACACTGATCTTAAATTATAGAATAGAGAGTGGAGAGCATCCTCAGATCCTCAGCTGGCGAATTTTTAGCCATTTCAACTTTTCCATAAAGTCAGAGACATGATCGTATTTATGAATATAAAAAGTAAAGCAAAGACAATTATTTAGTAAACTAATGCTTACAAACTAACAAAGTAATGTTTTAAGAGATAATGCATTTTTACGCAATACTTTTCGATTTTAGACTTAGGTATAACATCAAAGATTTTAGAATTTTCATTAATTGCTTAATGCATTTTGTCCTTAGCGACCTCGTCAGCAAAGTATTGGTGGGGTGCTCAGGCGGGAAGGCAACTGGAAGTGCTTCATGCTCACTCTCATGATCGCTGGCTGCCTCGGCTCCGTGGCCTGGTGTTCCACTGCTGAGATCGACAGGGATCTCATAGACTTCAGCTCGTGAGTATCGTAGGGATCGCCATTAATACTTATTAGAGTTATTAAATTTATTACATACTAAATGTACGATTTTTGATGAAAACAACTTGATTACTTTAAATTCAGTGCGTCTTTTTTCATAATATATATATTTTTTATCCAATTGTGTATATGTTCTTTGGTAAACATTTTACCAATATTATTTTGCTCATTAGTGATTTAGAACTTTTTCTCATTTTCATAGTCATATAGCCAAGTATAACTAAAAGAAGTAGTAGCTAGGGCCAATTTTTTGATCCGTAGTCAAATGTCATTTCACCATTTATTAACTTGATATAGTTAAAACATTAACCAGACTAAACCATAGGCAAATTTAACCACTGGTTAATTTGTTGCCAGCACAATGAGTCGTTCTTTGGCTATACATTGACTTGGGTAATTTTTTATGGGTGACAACACTAACAGTTTAAATGAACGGAACGAATTATATACCATTCTTGACATTAGGATTTTATTTCAAATATCAAAAGAATTCTGTAGGCTATCAAACAGTGTGGTTGTGTATGGTTGCTGTGATATGCACACTATGTGTTTTTCAGGAAATAAAAAGTAATCACTTTAATTATGTCAGAAAGCAACAAAGAAAGAAATTTGGGAGTTATTTTAGGCTTAATTTTTTTTAAGCATATTTTTTTGTTTTTTTTTTATCTTATAAAAAAATACGCATAGATATTTTTAGTACCTACCAAGTGTCCAAGGTGGGAATGTAATGTTGAAAAATAAATCAAACGAATATGTATTTTATATACTGTAATTATGTTTACCTTTTGTATTGTCTATTTGTGGATATTTTTTTTTTAATTTAATAATTTAAAAATGCATATATTTGAAAACTAGAAAACATATAATTTTATATAGTACAAAATATACTAAGGATGATCAAAATAAAAATATAACTTTTTTTCAATAACCCAAAATTCAAAAATGAGAATTAATATTTTCCTGTGAAACTGCATCATAAAATGAAATCCCAAAAATAACTAATGTCCAAATTCACTGTGAATCATGTTGGTTTTATAAACAATTTAAAAAAATAATGACAGAAAACCAAGTAGTTGTAACGCAATTGTACATATCTATTCTTTTAATCATTGGTCATTTGCTTAACCTTACTCCCAGTCATGGTTAAATTTTTTGACCAATAATTGGAATTTTGACAATTATTTAGGCTAACTTTTGATCAAAAAAACATATTTTTCTGATATTTAACCATTTGTTCGAGATTTAACAAATGGTTGAGTTAACCACGGATCAAAAAACCGGCCCTAAAATCACTTGAGAAAATGGCATAACTTAAGCACATATTTTTATACAATAGATGAGAATTTCAATGAAATAATAACTGTTAATAGCTAATAATAATATACTTACTATTAACACTTTAATCAAATATTTGCTTAACTTTTGGTTGTCTATAGATATGGGTGTAAGTCTTACAAGTACACTGGAACAAATGTAACGCATTTATTATATAGAAAACTTCAAATTCCTACGAGGGTAACTTTATAAATGTCATTGGAGCATTTCCGCAGGCAACAGTAAACGACTCTCGCTTATCCTTCATTTGCAATACTGATTCGTAGCCGAAGCACTCCCTCGGGAGTCGGTCAGAATGTCGGAATATTACTGCGGTTCCAAAATGTGAACTCTGGAGAAAAGATAACTTATTTGCTCTCGACACATTATTCAATGTTCGTATTATTTTAAAAATGTTATCATTCTAATTTAGGTTATGATTAAAAAATAGCAAAATAGCTTTAGTTTTATATTGATCAGTTTATTTTGATCAATGTTACTGTCGTCTAACAAGGGCCACTGTTTTTGATCACTAACGCTAAAAAACTACTTGTTATTTCCTATGTGCACGACTTCAGCGACACCTAGCGTCCTCAACCTTGCGAGCTTTGATTCGTTAATAAAACGTAATATTTTTAGACAAAATATTAAAATCAAAAATTTCTATTATTTTATATTACAAAATTTGTGTGATTTGGGTTCACAGAGGGTTATGAAATCATTCAAATTAAATAACGTAACTAAAATTAATTTAAAAAATGTTATTTTTTTTTATTATGTCAGAATTTGTCCAGCTCATTTTTAGTTGCAATTGTATTGTAAAACAAGAAATTAAAGCCTCTTTGACGACATAATGGCAAACGCAATGATATGCTGAAATAATGTTCAATAAAAATTCTATCTAATGTTATTGGCTCTGTAATTTATTGTTTCAAAAATTTAGGTGATTAATGTGTGTACGTTTGTTAAATATTCCTAAATGTATAACAAGGTTGGATAGCTGCTCTCACAGAAAGATAGGTACTGAATTAATCGACTTGGTTTACGTTGATTTCATAACTTTTTACGGCAGAAGAATTGCGTTGTGAGACTTGTGCATTTTATTTTAGACGTGTGCGATTATTCCTGTATAGTTAGTAATAAATGAAACATGGTTTTTAGATCGAAATGAGTGTAATTGTGAAGACCATTTTTGTGTGAGTGTGTAGTAGCACTCTCAATCTAAAATAAAAACTTTGATACCTCGAAATGCCAATGTTTTTGAAAGTAGGTAATTCTCCGTAGTAACTCATAAACACGAGTGATTTGTATTTTATTTTAATATTAATTCCTAAGTGCCTAAGTGATCAAAGCATTCATAAACATTATTTTTATTCTATTTAGAAAATACATTTACAAAATGATAATTATTACAAAAATCAATCAGAATGTTATTTTTCTTTAAAATATATGTAATGTGATGTTGATTTGATAAAAAATATTATAAGTAAGAAAATTTACAAATAGGTATATTTTAGCACAGTCTGATTATTGTTTCATCGATTTCTATACAAATTATGATTTAAAATTAACTTAAAACCAAAAAAAGAATCTGTTTTTTTTTTTGTATTGTAAATGATGATTAATAACCAGTTCTCATATGAATTAAATAGAAAATAAATACAAGTGTACATAGTATGGTATGAAAGATGACAAAGATTGCAATGTTTTTACTTATGGTCACCGTGAGCGCTGCCATAGATTACCCTATCCCCGCCTAGTACTTCACACTCAGCGAATACAACATTATCTCGGGTTTAGGTATTTATGGTATCTTTGTTCATTCAAATACTCCATATTACGGCACCTTGGAATCTGACCAATGTATGTGATGTTCTATAATATATATTTTATTTATTTATTTAATCTGTCAGTGTGGGACGGTTATTACAATATGTGCTAGTTGTTTTTTTTTAGTACTCCAGCGTTGAAAACAGTGGGCTTTATAAGGCGATGGTACTTTATACTAATACTACAAAGAGGTAAAGTTTCCAAGTTTTTTGTTTTGTTTGGCGATCATCGGAAATACTGAGCCGATCATCAAAATTCTTGCACCTACGGGAAACTACATAATACGCGGGGGATATAAGCTACAAATTTAAGGGCGAAGTTGCGGGAAAACAACTAGTAATCTTAATTCAAATTTTCTCCAATAATATCAGAAGACCTATAATACGATATTTAATACTTATTTATATTCCAAAAGATGAATTCTATCTATCAGAAACAAATTAAATCTACCTCTTTATAATATTAGTATAGATTTAAACGCCTGCAAAAAAAAATGTACCCAAAAGAAAAGCTGGATATATATATATAGAATTTAATCAGCTCTACTGTCTTTACATGAAAAGAAGTCAAAAAGAAATCTATAATACTAAATTAATTTTATATTTTAAAGTGATTCAGAATTATATGCGTACAGATTTCAGAGAACAGTTTTTTTCCTCTGATCTAAATTGCTTTTTGGCTTAATATTACTTTCGTTAAAGAATCAATTTAACTTTAATATAGGATCGAGATGGAATAGAAAATAAAAATTGGTTATATTATTTATAGATTTTTTCCCCGCAAACTCGTCTGCTTGGGACTACTTATTCCTATTGTTACTTCGAATAGCATATCTACAACTTGGATGGTGAGGCTATTCTCGTGTAGACTTGTCTGGATAAAATTTCAGTTCGTTTTGCTATCTTAATCGACGCACGGCCGGCCACTTTGAGCTTAGTCTTTAAAGCTATTTTTGTAGTCAATACTGCTTTTGCCGAAGGAGATACCTCTTCTTCAGTAAAGCGTTTGTATTAACTTATTGTCACGTGACTGGTGATGCTTCGATCGAATGCAATGTTAATGTTTTCAGAGTTTACTTTTCTTCCAATTACTGATTAGTATTGTATTTTCTTTAATTTAAATATACTTATACTTTAAAAACACAAAAGTGTTTCGTTATTTGTGTACCAACCCAATATTTTAACAAGACATAAAACACAAAAAAATCATGCTAAAGCACCAACGGCAATTACGGATTGCGTTATAATAAGAGCTTTGAATGTTACTCACACACGCATCTTACCGATAGGTATGCCGTGTAATACATGTGTGAGTAGAGTTTAGACAAGAGTAGAAGTATTTTAGAATTTTTTTAAAGTACTACGTTGACCTCAATTGCCGCGACCATAGAAAAATGTAAAAATTAAAATAAAATTTATAACAGTTTTATGAAACTCAGGAACCCTATAAAGAGGACGGTGCGGGAATCGCCGTGCGACGTTGGCTACGCGTACATCCCTATAGCATTCGTGCTGCTCCTTTATTTGGTATATCTGGTGGAGTGCTACCACAGCACCGCGAGGATACAGCTCGCGAGGAGGGTAGATGTCGCCGCAGTCAATGCTAGGGTGCACGCTATGAGGACCGCTGCGCCTAGAGTATGGTAAGAAGATTATTAATATAATAATTAATAGACGTTTTTCACGTCCTACTAAAGTATTTCCATTATGCAATCACGTACGGTAGAAATTACAAAAAAGAGTAGAAATTTATCTGTGATCTAGTAAAAGTATGCTGTGTGTTAAACATAGTTACGATAATAATAAACAGACAAGGAATAAAATAATAAATAAGGCCCCAAATGTACTAATAATGGATACCAGTATTAAATAAAAAAAACCGGCGCCAATGTGTGAAGCCTAGAATTATAAAAAATATATATTTATATATTATAAAATAAAAACTCTTTTCTAAGGCTGTTTTATTCTGGCGATATGTTAATATTTTGAAATATAGTTTATTAAATGTAATATAATAATCAAGTACTTTACAATTGAATTTTTTAAAACACGAAATAAATTAATTACGTTTTGGCAACGATTTTAAGACTAAAGTTGTGTTTTATCTTAAAAATATAAAATATTAAGTATCTTAAGCTACTGTAAGCACGTCTGATTGGAGTTTACGTCTTTACTCAATCGATTTCCCATTTTCTTTGTTGCGTAGGTGGAAAGCGATATGTTATCACTACGTAAGACGCAAGAGGCAAGTCACTCGGTACAGAAACGGTGACGCTTACACAACGACCCAAGTGAGTATGTACAGTGGACTGCACATACATTAATACATTTTTTAGATTTATTTTCGGACTACTGAGAGAACACAGACTTTATAGAGTGTATTCTTTTCCATGATACTGTTTTTTTTTTTTTTTTTTTTTTTTTTTTTTTTTTCCCGGCCTTACAGTCTATGACCGGGCGTTCCTACTTGTCCCCACTTTATACTTTTTTATTACAGCAATATCACACATTTAGCCATCGATATTTAATTAATCATTTATATCTATAACATGAGTAACATTTCGTTTGAGCTGGGCTTGGGTTTTTCCTCATACATCTTTAAAGGACAATCCTTGAAAACATTGATAGTAGAGTGCGAAATATTTCGTGGCATCTTTATGTACTGCTCTGTGTACGCTAACTATGAATGGTGCACAGCGAATCTTCGTTCGTGAAGAGATCTACCAATTCGAATGATAATCGAATGTAAAATTAAAATTTATAATATGTCTTGTTCCATTAACCGTAACGTGTAAAATAAAGCATTAAGTGTCTATCTCATGCCTCATTTACACTGGTTGTTGTGCTCAGCATAGTGCGGGCGACGCACTATGGGAAAATCGGGCCTGTTTCAGGTCATAAATCTGTATCTTCTTTATTTCAGAATATATTTCAATAAAATTCGGGCATGATAATATTGAGTACATCTGCGTTCAAATAATATAAGTTTTATGAGTATTAATATTATTTAATAGCAATTAATAATATTGAAAATATAGACTGGGAAAACATTAAAAAATTACAACTACATATATACATTAGTAACGATATATATATATATATATATATATATATATATATTAGTATAAGTTTACATGAGGATTTAAACAATATAACTGTAAAAATATATAATTTTCAAGCAACAAGTAGCGCGATATTAATATTATCATATGAAAATTAACCGTGAGCTTAATTCTTTATAACTTTCTTCACCAAACTGATAGGTAATAAACTTAAGTTAATTAGGTGTTTATAATATTTTAATTGTCACCAAGAAGTGCCAAAGTATATTACTTATCCATGTTTCAGCTACAGTTTGATGTCTCATACCTCATATGCTTACTTCAATTTTGACAAAAGTGTTTATGGCGTGGCCTTGTTAGGAAGTTTTTTAAAGTGCGACGTAGATGCGCTCATCTTATTGGTAAACAACACCGATAATGAAAGTGAAGAACAGAATACTGGTTCGGATTTCAACAGAATCGGGCCGCAGTTCTATCTTACTGTGTATACCCTAATAAAGATAGATCTCAAGCATTTTCTATACTAGAAATTAAATAGCGAAATATTACCGATGTTAAAATTGTGGAACAAACTTATGTTAGTACCTACGTATCATAGTCATGTACCAATTTCAATACACATTTGTATAAGATATTGAATATTATTTAGTATTACATTCTATACACACAGATTAATTAATTACGCGTAATTGATGTACGCGTTTGTTGTGCTCATTGGTGGTTATTGCTTATATTTGACATTGATGTAAATTCTGTAGTAGGGAAGGAGACCCGTTTTTGGCCACTGGCCCCTTTTTGGCCATTTGGGACTCCAAAGCGTTCTAATTTACAGATAAACAAATATTTATATTACTAGTTCTTCAATAGTTATTTTGAATCATGGAAAAACTAAAACCGTTAATTGCTTTAAAGTTCACTTCTTTGTAATTTATACCTATAATGGCCAAATATTAATATAGACAAAACTTACGGCTGTATGTCATGTTAAGGTTGCCTGGAAGAAATCGCTTTTTAGCAAGAAGGACGTCAATTATACTGTGTTAGTAAATATTTGTTTATTTACTATGGTATGGGTACAATAAAGAGTATTTTATTCATTCATTCAAAGCCGGGTCATCAGCCCTACGGTATTCTAAACTAAACTAAATAAATTAACTTTATGCTGCCATCATGTTTTTCTGTTTCCCAAATGTTGACTGGTAGAGAATGCTACTAGCACTAAGTCCGCATCTTGTACCAATTCAATGATCAATAAAATTTGTTGAATAAATTTTAATTATAGTTAGTTAAGAAATATAATTATACTCATGTATACTATGTATAATATTGTATATTTGCTCCTGTTATCTTAATTATATGTATTTGCGATTGGAAACGCAATTTGACAGTATTAAGCCTAAATTTAGTTGGCTAGTTTGTGCTATCTTGTTGGCACAAACTAAACTTAATTCAAATTTACTTTTATTCATTTTTAAATTCTTTAAATAACCACGCTAAAAATTCCTCATTTAATTGTGAATTGTGAGGGATAAAAATTAAAAGTTTTATATAACCTGAGGATATACTTAAATAAATCGTCATTATTAATTAAAATGAAACTAATTTTGAACTTAATAATTAATAATAAAGGCTCTTAATGATTAAAAAAATGGTAATCTTTTAAAGAATCACTGTTAACTTAATTATATTATCTAATTAAATGTTAAGCTAAATTATTGGATTATTAAAATCGCTTTAAGAAGTATAATTAATTATTTCTTTATCATTTCTCTTTCTTTTTAAATTTTTTAGCACATACTTACGTGCTTATTGGAGAAAAAAGTTTTTTAACCTACTATGTAAAGTACATAGTGTGTCATACGTCACTTCTATCAACTACCTCGTTCAGAACAACTCAGCTATTCTGTAATGTAATCAGCGTAATTCAAGGTAAACCTAATTCAAAAAGAGCTGAGAATAGCACAGCAGTTGACACAAATTGATATTAAATAAAAATGATCATCATGCGTGCTTGTAGAAAATGTTTTGTACACAGTAAAGAGTCACATTAGTTAAAGTGTTAAAAAAAGCATTTAATAAATTGCCAAAAGTCTATAATGTGAAGTTTAACTATTATAGTAATGTAAGCATGCAGAAATATACAAGAACAGTATGTCAACCGTAGTTGTCAGATTCAAATTTGAAATATAAACTATAATAAGAAAGGCCACCTTAGTCGTCCAAATTCGATATGCTTACTTCTCCTACTTAAGTCGGTCTCTTAGTTCTAACAATCGTGGCTTCAACGGAAGCATTACAGTAGCGTAGTAGGTCTTCTGCTTGATAGAGAGCCTGATCAGACCATCGTTTAGGATTGTCATCGTCTTTTTTGCAATCCACTTTGCTGGTTATTATGTTGTCTGTACCTCAGCGTGCTACATGACCAAAGTATTAGAGTATTTTGTGCAGGTATATGGGCGTGGCTGTGCTATTCCAGTTGCTTACTTACTTGAAAATTTAAAGATTATTCTTCTGTATTTCTTTTACATTAGAAACCTGATTAGTATTGATAAGTACTAGTATTGATAGCAATATATTTTGTCAGGTATACTACGAGAGGGTGAACACGCATAGCGCAAGTACATCTTTCGCGCATGCATGCTGTGGTCAACGTGATGCATCCAGAAATCTGGTACTAGACACCAAAACGCCAATAACAAAAGTTCGTTTCAGCAAAGGGTTCGCGTTTGCCAACATAGAGGCTGCTAGTGGTAAGAGTAAAAAAGAATAACACACCTTATTATTAAAAGCTGCATTTGCAGTGCTAAAATAGCTATATACCACGTCTAATACAGCGGCGAAGAGGCGCTGTAGCAGCATTAGAGTTTCAATTAAATAAAAACTTACTTCAAAAGGGAATAAAGGTTTGATTTGACTAAACTTCAGCTAATGCTGAGCCAGTGCCGTGCTTGATGCTGCTATTTAACACTGTATTTTAATATAATACTAAAGCTGAACATTTCCTGCTACACCATTTAAAAGTTCCTAATTATGAAGTAAATTTTGTAAATAAAAGAGGATTTGTATAAAATAACTGGATAAATACTCATTCGCGCATATTTGTAACATTGTAAACACGAAACTATAACAGTGTTATTACAAAAAAGATAAACACGCGTTGAACACGTGTTTATCTTTTTTGTAATAACACTGTAAGTCTTCTTCTACTCTTTAAAATTTTGAAAACAATATAAATGGTTGTTTAAGGATAATGTTGAGAAAAATATGAATCCATTAATATTTTTATGAATATGATTCGAATCCAATAACATATTTACAGAATTTGAAGATCAGAGATCAAGATTCTTTGCGGAACACGAGCGATTTGATGACTTTATGGAGATGCGTGAAGGCTTAGATCTTATAGGTGTTAGTTCCTTCAAAGAATACATGGTAGCATATAGGTAAAGTTTAACTTTATTTAACTAAAGTTGTCAAATGCGTTATAACTTATCGAAAAAAATAAGCTTTCGTTTGTTTTCAGAGAAGCTGATCGTTGTCCATGGTATTCGTCACAATTACTTTTCTGGACACTGTCCTGTCTTCTTCTTTCCTGGCCTCTTAGAATTTTAATTGAATGTAATACAGCCTATGTACATTACACGGTACGTAATTGACCTATATACGAGTATTTAGCTCTTTCTATTAGTTTTAATAATGTTACTATTTTTTTTTATTTGTTTCAGATCACAAAAATATTTGGTACAAACTACGAGTTAGATCCAAGTCGACAATTAGATTTAGACACACATTTGTCAGATACCCTGCCGCCCGTAACAGCAACGAATTACGCTTGGGCACTAGCAGATGAACAGAGTGCAGTACTCTCTTCAGTACCCCGTCCACCCCGTACCCTCCCCTTATCACATGCTTCCACTGTTGACAGCCTCGAGCTATTCGCTGCTATACGGGGCAATTGTGCCTTAGTTCCTTCTTACTCGGAAGCCATGCGCATTGACGCTGCCCTAAGGGAGGAACCTTCAGAGAATACTAATACCGCTGTTACTATAGATATGGAACATCCTCAAAGGCCAACTAGGGCTGCGATTAAAGCGGCCTCTTTTGATGAGCCAGTAAGACGACCAAGAGTCACTATAGCTAGTACGCACTCAACTAACAACATTGCTGGTTGTACCAGAGCTAACGAAGCTAAGCAACAGAATAGACGGTCTTGGGCCGGTGTTCTAACCAACACACGAAGTGCCAGACAAATATTAGAAGAATTCAGAACGTCCAACGAGGTCAATTATGAACCCATGCCTGAAGCTCGACCAGCAAATGGAGAGACTACTTTGTATTTTTCTAGTGAGTTGTCTCCTACTTGTTCGAGAGATCCATTTGGTGGTCGGGCACAGACAACGCCGACTGATGAACCTCCTTCATACGAGGAAGCATTAAGACTTCCAGCGTTAAGGAGACTTACTAGATCTATAACAGGTACAGAACTTGCCGGGCCGAGAAGAGCATTTTTGCGAGATGTTCTGGCTAACAGGCGGTCATGTCTAGAAGGTGTGGGAGTGCTTTCAGGGACTAAAGTGGTAAGATTACCGTTTTCTGACCCTGGAAATGAAACACCACTATAGCGCCTCTATAGTGCAATTAACTTTTTATGGTGCAATAAAATGGGTTATTAAGTGCTTGTATAAATATGTGTTTATAATAATAGGGTAATGTATTATGAGGATATTGTTCTACGCGTTATATTTATAAATGCTTAGGAATTGTTAAAAAAATCCATGGATGAGCTTGAGCAATTAATAGTATTCGGTGATAGAGAACAAACGGGACTAAAGACTTAGTACGCAAAAATTACTTATGATAAGTATTTCTAAAATAGTATAAACGCTCTTTCAAAGTACACATTTAAACTATTAAATTATTCATTTACCATATTCACTCGATCAATATTATAATATTTACTTTTTAACACTGATTAACTTATGATAATAATTCCGATTATGTTCTTTAAAATAAAATAAAATAAAAGTGTTTATTGTGATAACAGATTTTTTTATACTTTAATGAGTCTAGAGTTTTATATGTTTGTTTATAATAAAATTCCTTCACCAGTATAATGTTTACATTATCACATGGTAAATATTTTTTCGTGCCCTTGGGGACAGTTACAATGTAACGTGGCCGAGTTGAGCCAGTTCGTAAATTTACTTCAGTAGGACTTTTCGCAAGCAACAAAATTTAATGTTTAAATTATCGTATATTTTGTAATAAATAAATTATATTTTCACACCCACACACTGTTGTAACTACAGCAAATTTTTACTGCCCCCAATATGTCAGAGTTATCGCGTTCTCAATCGGAGCGCCGCTTGGTAATTATGGAAATGAGCAGAGGCCCGTGTAGAAGATTTAATAAAGCATTTTCCTTGAACATGGAAAACAGGAAGATTAAATATTATCTTTAGATCGTCTGTATTACATTATAATGATAGAATTTTCATTTATTATTTACGAGAGCTGTTTTTAATATAAAGAGCATCCTTGTTTTCATCGAAAATACTAAGATTATATATTTTTGGTAATTAAACTGATGATATTACGACAAATATTTTACCAACATCCTTGCTTGTCCCCCCTTTTTTAGGCGCCAAAAAAATACTATTTTTAGGATGTAATTTAAAAAAAAAAGTTAAATATATATTAATATTTGTATTAAACTAATTTGATTACATGTAAAGTACCTGTAGGTATAAGGCAGTGCCTTGTATCATTTATAGCTGCATTGAATCCTCATATTTGGATAAAGCTTATGGCTCATATACACTGGGCGACAAAGTCCGCATGCGGCTTTCCGCATGCGGACTTTGTCGCCCAGTGTAAAGTGGCCAATGAAAATTGGCACAGAAATTACTTGCACTCCGCGTGTATACACGTGCACTGTCTGCCAATGTACATGCTCCATTAGGTGAAAAGTCGGTTAATTTAATTTGCTATCAATAGTTGGCGTTAAAAAATTCTTTGTTTATTCTAGTTTCCATAACAACTTCTTTATTTATCTCAATAAAAAAATGGCTAAAAACCAAACTGATGTTAAATTTAGACAAATAAAAGTTATATTTAATTGATCACGACACAAAATAAACTGACCAGTCAATAACAGATAAGCACAAAAGAATAGAATTACGTGAAGAAATTAACTAAGTGGTGAATTTTAGCGGTTACTTTGTAATTATTTTCTATATCGAGTAATTTCACAATTCTCCGCTTTGATCCGCCGAATAAATCTATTTTTGTTTTGACCTACTCATCTTTAGTATTCAGTAATCTTTACATTTACTGAACAGAATTTACTCAAGAGATTTCAGAATACCAAAGATGATCTTTGAAGGAAAAATCACCCAATATTTTGGCCTGCGTTTATTTATTCTAAATTAATTTTATCGTAATTGAGTCGAAACTTAGTGAATATTTATTAAGTCTCCTTAATAATAATATGTTGATATACGATATAAATAATAATTTTAAGACATTCATAAAAAAAGAAACAGCGCCATCTATTGACAGTAAAAATAATGTAATTTTGACTTTACACCATAAGGATAATTAGGTTACTGTTTCTTTTATGTATAGGTATTATCGCAATAGAAATAATAATTGTGCCAATTTAACCAAAACAAAAGAAGGTCTATTGCAATCAGTTTTTTATAATAAAACAAAAGTAATGACTCAAATAACAATTCCATAACTAAATAGATAATGATATACTAGAATACGTGTAGATAAGTGAGATTCTTGATAACTTAAAACTGTAGTATTATTATCATACATATACCGGTCATTGCTAAAGTGCTCCAAGGAATACCCAGGGGTCCAGGGGAGACTCAACTGGGCTCTCATTTTGATGTAATCTTCACATTTTGACGAATTTTGGGAATTTGGTCGAAATATGTTCACCGAAACCAACAATCACACTAAGTTTTGAAAGTGGTCTACTACAAAACAAAATATAGAACTTTTGTTAGACAAATGGTTACAATACAAGAAACAGTATCCTATGATTTCTAATGTAATATGCACAATGTATTTAAGTATATTTACAAAACGGTGACGCACCGAAAAGTGATATTATAATAGAATAATAATTACACAAATACTTAATAGAAATAAAATTAAGACAATCGCGTAGTATTGTGGATATTCAATTCTGATTAGGTACTCGCTTATCTTACAGAGCCGAAGTAGGTGAATTTTCGTTAGGGGAGATCGACGAGCCTTTAAGGTAACTCACCTTTGGGTGTTGTTCACAAAGTTGGTATCATTGTATATCAACTGCTACCCATTGTAAGCATTTGATATTCTATGATGCCAACATGCTAACCGTTTTTGGATTTCGAAAATTCAGGGTTTCTTCAACTCACCTCTGTTATACAAACCTCTCTATCTCCCCCTGTATCTTTGACATGAAAATTCTAATGAGTCAGTACGTGCATGTGTGTGATTGTAATAATATTTTGTTTAATACGAAAAAAAAAATATAAAATCTTTTCGTCTCCTTCGGTGCATTCCATCTTGTTAGATTTGCATTTACCTTACATAAAACCAAAACATTATTTATTGAATATTTTGAACATAATTTATGTTTTTTGAACATGTGTATTTGTAGCAAATGAAGACGACGCTTATGCACAAGTAAATAATTATAATAATGGCCCATTTACACTGGCCGATTGGTCTCGCACGCTGAGCACGGGTGACCTCTGTATGCTCATCTCATCGGTCAATAAAACAATGATCGACCAATGAAAGCGAGGAACAGAAACCGCCGGTACGCTGCACAGATTGTATCGACCATTGTAAATACGTTATAACGAAGTGATTATATAATAATAACATGGGCCCCGATTATTCTGATGTTAACGTAATTATCCGATGTTTCAATACGTCATAGGAACTAAAAAGTGTGAGCTTAAAATCAATAGACAAAATGCGTTTTCAAACGCCATTGAGACGGTAATATTGCTTAAGAATTGCATAACTGAAGTCATTTGTGCGTGTTTCTGTATCGTGTACAAGCGCTATTACTTTATTTAGATTTTTTGTCTACTTTTCTTATATGTTTTTGAGAGTAAATTTTTCTTTGTAAAGCTGAATTAATAGACTTAAGATTTTTCGTCGGAAAATACGTCCTTCCGGATAAAATGTAATCGTCGTATTATTTTAATGGCGTGTAAATAAATTATGAAAATAGGTTAAACAAATGTAATATAACTATTAAAGTGCCAATCAAAAATATTAAGTAAGAAAGTAATGTAAATTACATTTGTTTTCAATTACTTTTATGTTTTACATAAGCACACAAAGTTTTATTCCATCAAGTCTGTTGTATAAATAGAAATTGAAAAAAAGAATGTCAACATAATGACTAATGGCCCATTGTATTGTAGAATAATTGAATTTAAAAGAATTAGGAAAGGAAAAATAATGCCTAAAACTCTTGGAATGTGACCAATCGAAAAACGCTACGCTTCTTTAAAATCATTACTGCTACGAAAAAATAATACGCATAATCAGATCATATTCGTTGTTTCTTGTACCTTATTTCACAGTAAATATCACTTTAAATAAAAGGAAAATCGTCTGCTATCACGACTTTTGTTCGGATTACAGGCAGGGGTCGCGTTACAAAAATATATTTACGACGTAAAGTAACGGCAAGTTCTCTTGGCATAACTTTAGAGATACACAAGTTTATAAATAAAGCTATTATAATATAAATAAAAAGGTTGTATAAGTTTCAGTGATATAATATGTAATTTATTTAAAATTAAAACTTTCATATAAGTTTTTAAGCATTTTATTATAATAAGGTCCAATATAGCTTGGTACTAGTTTTTATGGAATTGGTATTTATATAATTATAACATGCTGTCTTGAAAGTTTGTAAAGTATCAAGTTATTATTGAAATTGAATATTGGAACGCTTAAAATTGAAATTGGATAATGCAAATAATTTGTAGATAGTTAAATTTTAAGGAACGCTTTTAATGTTGCACACGATATTATGTAATATAGATATTATAATGATGACGCTAAATTTATTTTCAATTATTATAAATTATGAACGAGAGAAGTTTATTATTTTCAATAAACTACGTGTTACCAGTATTGTTTTTTGTTTCATTATAAAAACAGACCTTTTTTAAGTTTCACAGGTGAAGATTATCAATTACTAATTTAGAAGTTTACTAACGTAAACTAAAGCATCAAACTGTAAGGAAACCAGGATACCAATGGTGAACGTACACTTTGTACGCACGCATGATACGCAACGGATTTGATATAGCTTAGCAGGAATTTGTAAAGCACTACATCCAATATCCGTATCAGCTGCACTGACTGCACTCATTATATAAGCAACGAATGTGAAAGAATTATAACGTCATAAGGATAACGTCCTTAGAACTATTATACATATAATCTCAACGTTATGATAAAACTGTCAAATGGTACTTTTATTAATTCTTGATATAGTGGACATATGTCGTCGGCAAATGCGTACAATCCGTTGTGTATCGTACATCCGTTGCGTACATGCAGGCATATTGGTGGTACACCCATACAAAAC